CATTTCCATTAAAAACATGTTGCATCATTTTATTGAGAAAGAAGATACAACTCCCCAAAGTAGGGTCCTTTTTCAAAGCCTACACTTAGCAGTGTTTTATACAAGAACTGACTCTGAGTTCCAGTTTCATGAAACCAACACACATCTTTTATATATTTTTATTCAGATGAGGCCAATGATAACTAAAGAAATCGTTCACACACTTAAATTAAGGAGAAACTACTGTGTACAAAGAGGTATCATATTACGGACTAGTGATCCGAGAAAAGATCATGCAGCCATCGGCCACTAGGAACTTTGTTTACTTTATACTCCTGCGACACTATATGCTATTCCCTCTTCCGCTCTACCTTCATCTCTCTCTCTCTCTCTCTCATATATATCCCTGATATATATCCAGAACAAAAACATGTTCAAGCATTCCCTTTCTGCGTGGTAGTGTTCTGTGGCTAGCAAAAATCATTTCCTCGCTAAGCTCACGATTATGGCAAAATAGTTGCCGGAAACCGCAGACGACACTCGTCGCTAGTTCTGGCAAAACGGCCGATACAATCTTTTTTTCGCATTTCCCCGCTCGCTGTCAAGGACAAGGGGGTTCGCTTCAACCAGCAAAACATGGCCGCCGACGCCTGTTTACTGAGCAGTCATGCCTGTCGCCATCTCACTCGCTGGCGTCACGGGCGATAATATCAGGCACAAAGGGGCACACCAACCGGCAGCATTATCCCCAAATACTCGAGCCTCGCGTAAATACATAGAGTGTAAACGCTGTCGCCATGTTATCGTAGTAAGACCGCCCCCCCCCCCCCCCCCCTCCCCGAACCGGGGACTGCAGTACGCGACGGCGTACTAACACAACGGCGACGATATCGACATCGCGGGCTCCGAATTTTCCCATAGTTCTACTCCACGGGCATTTCTCGAAACGCTTGATATTGTGTACGCCCGCCTGGAAGGATTTCAGGCGCGTAGTTAAGATAAGGCGGTTCTCCGCGGCAAAAGAAAGCAATTTCACAAAAGCTTAAAAGCGGCGGCGACGCGTGTGCGGTGAACGCTTGTAGTTTTGGTGTAGACAGGGTGTGTGTGTTCTCGTTGTTGACACCAGCCGGCGATAAGGCACTGCAGGCGGTAGCTCAGTACAGCAAGGGCTAATCCGAGTGACCATCAACGTAACCCCACCGCCAACCCCTCGCGAACCGGTCGCCGACATGGCTCAGGCTGTGTCATGAACCACGTGGTAGAAGCTCGGGTGCTTTCATATCAGCGCGTGGAGGGACGACAGTGCGATTCCGGAAAGTCTTTTTCGAAGGCCGCTGACCACAATTTTTTGTCTGGAGACTTTCCCTCTTTCTTCCTTTGACGTGGATCAAGCTTTGCCGACAGCCTCAGTTGTGACCTCTCTTTTCAAATGTACGTTTGCAGTGAGTGAGCTCCTCAGCCTCGGACTTGTCACTTGTGCATCCAGTAGTTCTTTCACTTGGCAATTATATGCCATCAGTTGGGGTTTAATTTCTATTATTTATGTATACATTATGAAGACGTCCTGGAGCTCCGAACGAGTGTTTTGTGCAGATTACTTTTGCAAACACAAAAAGACTATACCAAAGCAGCGGAATTTTCGAAGTGTTGGCGAGTTGGACCTAAACTCGTTGAAGCAAATTCTTCCGCCTGACTGTTCCACCAAAGTGAGTGCGACGGACTACCTGTGCTACCATTGCTTCATGCACATCACTAAGGAGATCTCGATGCGAAGCTCAGAGTAGTGCCCTGACATATTTGTGCCAGCTGAAGAAGCAATTGAAGATCTAAATCGCAGCATACTACCTACAGATGTGTCGCCGCTGAGACAACCAAGCGTCGTAAGAAGTCGGGACAGGCCTGCCTATGTCAAGAGAAAGCAGACAGAACTGGAGCAAGTTGCTGTCAAGAATATACGCTCAAGGCTACGTATTGCGTACGACAGGGACGCACCATCGGGGTCGTCCGAACCAACATGCTCCACATGCACTGAGTGGGTGGACAACTTTCGGCAGGCCTTTGAAACCGCCACCTCTCTCCGGGAACGTTGTCAACTGCTTACACTCCTGCCGTCAACACTGACGAAGAATGAGGTTCAAAAGATGATTCCACAGGCCTCAATGTACCTCATCAGTAAATCCCGAAAACTCAAGGAAAAGCATGGCGTGTGGTATGAGTCGGATCCTTACACGAGGTGCAAGGTGAGCCCTGAGAACCTGTCTGCTGCCCTAGAGTACTTCACGAAAGACGAGCTACAATGTTCGCGCCGAAGTTCCAACCAGAAGGACGTCATCTCTGTCATGCTCAACGGAGAGAAAACGTTCGTGCCAAAGCGCTTCATGACACGCTCAATACGAGAGGCCTTCCGTATATATAAAAACACAACATCCCGATTCCGGCGTTGGGCTAACGAAATTTTATTCGTTGCGCCCTAGATGGGTCCAATGTATTCCACACCAGGAAGTGTGCGTTTGTGTGCGCTGCGCCAATTATTATCTTTGTATTGCCGCTCTAGAGAACGTTATAGGCTCTACATTCAACACTGGTGAAATGAACTCGGCATTTCTGTGCGACCCAGCAACAGAACTGTGCCTTCAAGGAGACTGTGATCACTGCCCAAAAGGCCAGTTTCTTACACTCCAGGAACTTGATATCCCGGAGGATGAAGAGATTGTGCTTGCAACATGGGAGTCCGGCGACCTTGTGAAAAAAACTTTGGAACCTGAGACTTTCCTAAAAGTCATCCAAGTGACGGTTGGAAGTTGGGTACTTCACAACCATATCCGGCAAACGCAAGGTAAAGCGATCTACGATGAAAAACAGTGCATGCAACGCGGGAGCATTGTCTTTCATTTTGACTTTGCTGAAAACTGGACCATCGTGCTTCCTGACGAAGTGCAAGCATATCACTGGAAAAAAAAAAACAAGTTTCGATATTTACATGTGTAGTGACGACAAGAAAATCTACTAACAGCTTTGCCATCATCAGTGAGGACCTGTGTCACGACGCCGCTCACGCTTGCTTGGCTCTAGAAAAAGTGAAGGAGTGGGTTGAAGACAACGTTGCGGTATACTCGTACGTGACGTACGTAAGTGACGGCGCCGCCAGTCATTTCAAGAATCGCTACCAGCTTCACCAATTTGCAAAGGACGATTGCCCACAAGCCCAGTGGTTATTTTCTGCATCTGGACATGGGAAAAATGCATGTGACGGAGTTGGCGGACTCGTGAAGCACCAGGCCACGCTGAACAACCTGAGAGAACGTTCAGTAAGCGCAATTCAGACGGCCAGGACAATGGTGAGCGTTGTATCAAAGAAACTGAAAGGCGTGCATCTTGTATATCTGGACGAAAATGAGGTTGTTCGGTATCGTGAACAAAAAAAAGAAGAGTGGCTGACGGTGCGCGCCTTCCCTGGCATTCAGTCTTGGCACGCGTGGCGGCTCAGCAAGTCATCAACAGAAGGGACCTGTGACGTATATGTTGCACGGACAGTCGGATCTGCTTGGAAGCAACTTTATTAAATGGGTACAGCGAGGAAAACCTTAGCGTAAAGTGCCGAATTTGATTTCCCAAGGACTGCTCATTTTGAATGCAGGGACATCTTATTTATCACATTTTTCTTCACGGGGTATTTAACCTACTGTTTTTGTTGGTGGTTACTAATAATTTTTATCTGATCACTATAAAAAAAATCCCAAAATGTTATCCTCGAGCAGGATAAAATATATCGGCTTGCCACGATTCATCCATACACCGAGAGCATCGAAGCTGCTCCAGTTAGGCACTATGGCATCCGTCACCTGAAATTGTTTGTAATCGTAAATACACAGCCAACCTAAATATCTTACTATTATATCTTTGTTTTTGTGTGTGGAAGTAAAGTTATTTATTTTACTCTAGATGTAAAATATACCGGAAGGTACAACTTCACACTGCATCATCTTTTCTCAAATCATTAGTCTCTAATATGATACCACTTTGTACGCTTATGTAAAATGCTGTATATAGTTTCTCCTCCCTTTTACTGTGTGACCGATCGCTCTTTTTATCAATGACCTCATCTGAATAAATGTATATAAAAGATTTGTGCAAGTTTCATGAAACTGTAACTCAGAGTCACTTCTTGTATAGGACACTGCTAAGTGTAGGCTTTGAAAAAGGACCCTACTTTGGGGAGTTGTTTCTTCTTTCACAGTGCAATGATGCAACATGTTTTAATAGAAATGAATGCCGAAATAGAGTATAATAGGGTACCCAAATTTTAAAAAAATCGAAGGTGGTGTTTTTTTTTATTCGCATTGGAAGTTTTCTTTGTTTGATTTTTTTCCCATGTTTGCCTAAATATATTGTAACTATTGTGTCACTGAGATACCTTATTTATTTTTTCAATAATAGCCATATATTAGTAAAATAATGTCTGCAAGTTATGTAATAATGATTAAATTATTTCATGAGATACAGATTTCCAAAGTTTGCCATTTGTCGTTCGAGCAGGCATGTTTGGCAGTTTTTATAAAACTAAATAAATTTTTAATAAATATTATTACTTTATATTACAAGCAAGTTGTACCCATAGTTTGTTTGTAAAACGTTTTAAAATTCTCCTAATTTTATTGTTTTAATTATTCACTTTCAAACTTGCCCCCTCCATCAGTGCGCGTTATTGCAACTGTCCACCTCTCCCTGCCTTAGGATTTTTCTTGTCTCCAAATTTTTTTTCTGGTCAAAACTAAGTGTGGATTCGTTTATACCAGACACTAGATAATGTCATATAAAAACATCAGTTGATTTAAAAATGTCGACCAGCCACCCTTTGGTCGATCTTATCTGAAATCACCCTTCTGTCTTTTGTGACAAGATGAAAAATTTAAAAAGTAGGAGGTGCCAATTCTTTCAACGTTGAAATCGTTGCACAGCTAATTTAAAGCGAAAAAAAGTAACGAAGACTATACGTTTATGTCGAAAACATTTACTTCCAGGAGTCGCCCTGCGGAGATGTTGGGAAGCGTGAAATCCCAAAGAGCGAGGATTGGTTTCAAAAATACATTTGATGCTCGAGCTTATGTGGACGAAGTGAACCAGAGGTACAAGCCGGTTACTGTTTTTCAACAAGCAGGACTTCACGGCATCTTTCAATCAGGTAAATGGTGGCCAATGTCCCAAATAGGAAAAAAAAAAAATAGTGTGAAAGTGTGGGGACGTTATAGCGCCCAATCTCTGATTAGAAGGAATATAGTGAGTATCTGTGTTGCCGTTGGGCGGTTGGTGACAGCAGCTAAAACACAGGTCAAAAGGAGCCCTTTTATTTGTCTTGGCGCCAAAAATTTCGCCACCGTTTTTTCTAAAAGAGAATCGTCACATGTAGTAATAAAATTAGACTATGTACAGCCTTAATCAATGTGAATAAATGCTCCCACATCTAGAGTAATCCAGGGTAAGTTTTTTTTTAAGAAGCTCGATGGGCACCTCAAATGTGGAGGTCGTTTTCTCTTGCAGCCGCAGACCGAACTTTAGTCTTTGAATCGCCACAAGGACGTCCAGCTCCATCTTGTTTCTTAATTCAGTTTTTGTTAGTGAAACTTGAAAAAACACGCGCTCAGAATCCGCATTTGATTCTAGAAGCGACAGGAGTCTCAGCGCACTTCTGCGAGATGTGGAAAAGGGCGCACTCCAGAAAGGCTCCTGTAAGTGGCCTCTTCCTGGCAGAAGTTGAGGCAGGTTGTGCGGTCCAGTGAGCTAGAAACTGACCGCAGGTGTCGAATTTCCGATTCTAGCTCAAGAGAAGAACAGCCAAAAAAAGTAAACTGGAAAGCTCAGTATGTCTGCTCGGCTCTTATCACCGTCTATGGTCTCTGGGTTTATGGCATTGAGCCTTCGAAATGCGGATGAAGAATTAGGAAACCGTGGTGGCATCTGGACTGCCATTTGCTTTAAAAAATTAAAGCAGCGTTCGCGAACATTTGTTTCTATCTTCAGTTGGAAGTTTCGATAGCTTCTCGCTGAAGACGTCTCCCAGGTCTGCTGTTTTTGAACTGAGGAAGATATACCTCATGTTGACCAGGTCTAAAAATGGCAAGCTTGTCGATATGTTGTGTCGCAACACTGACGGGATCAGAATGGACCATAGAGTTATTACAATAAACACTGGAGGCTCAGCTGGCGCTAGTGTCTATGGTACTTCCGGTTGCAAATTGAAGCAGACAGCATGCAGTCTACTTTTCCAGTCTTCCTGTGTATTCCTATGGGAAAACGCGCGTGAATTTTGTCTCGTCGCCGGAAAATAACATTAATAACTTTTGTTATTTCGGTTGTACCGGGTAGTATGTACCTTTATTAATATTGTGAAAGTGTAATTGCTTTAGTTACAGCATTTTTCCTTTACCACTGAACGATGTTAAACTTCGCTATATTTCAGGCCCAAACCTCTGTTCCGTGGCAGGTATGTAGAAACGAGCGACGATTCTAAGCAAAATAACGATCGAAAGGAATGTAGAGTGTGTTCAAAGTTCGCCAGCATTCCGTTGGTGCTTATATATCGCTAATATGCCTGTCCTCTCACTATATGAAAATGACCCCGTCGTGCATCTCTACGAGCGGTTAAAAAATACGTTCGAAACGTAAAGAATAAAGTACGTGGGCTACGAAAGGTGTGTTTTCTTATTATTTCCTATGTTGGGCAGTTTTTATCGCGCACCTGTTTTCTGGCTTCCCCCTATTTGCAAAGATTTGGAGCGTGCGGGCGATGATTTGAACACAGAACAAGCATCTTCGCACATATTCATGAGCGGAAAGAATAAAGCAGTACTTATTTATTGCAAATCGGACTATATTACGTGACTTTCAACTTATTCTGATCGTCTGCAAGCACAAGGAGTTACTTACCCAGTATTACTGCGTAGTTCTTGCCGTCTCTCTTGGTTTTCCACATGTCGTTCGTTCGTTTGGCACGTATATCCCCCATGCTGGAAAGCGTCGACGCCGTGTTCGCGCTAACAGTGTCCGACAGTGCACATAAATACACGTACGAAGCGGTTTTAACATTGTTTTTAATGCCGCGAATTTCAAATAAAAATGCTGTAACTGACCAATTATTTCGTCTGCGTGACTGAGAAATGTTCCAATGTGCCTAGTACGTACAAATGATTCGTGATATTTGCTCTTATAATCGAGCGCAGAGAAAAAATGCACTCGCTTTTTCCCATAGAAATGCATTACCGGAAGTCAATTTCTGACTGCATGCTGTCTGCTTCAATTTGCAACAGCACACTAGCGCCAGCTGAGCCTCTAGCGTTTATTGTAATAACTCTATGGAATGGACCTTTTCCACATACCGACGGCACCAGGCGGTGGCTGCACGAACTAAAAATCGAGGAAGTGACCTACCTGCGCTACCAATCAATAATGGGAGCTACGCTACCAGTTTCTTCGCTTTCTGAGCAGCGGCGCCTGCCCAACGCGACTTTAAAGAGGGGCATCCGTGGCGTCCACCCAAACGTCGTGTTTTCCTTTCCGTCGACGTTCTTTTTTTGTGTAACACAATTATATATATGCTTCTGTTACGTGTTCTACTCGCTGATATACAGCCTCCTTCCGTATTTCCTCGATTTTTCGTTCCGACTTCCGCCGCTTGGCATCGGGCGCCCGCGCGTGCGCAGAACGCGTCTCGGAAAAGGTCCATTCTCTTCAAGGTATCTAGGTACAAGTTTTCAAGCTCCTGAAAGAGTACCAGCGGGTCAGCGACATTGCTTTGAAGCATGATGTTGACACACTTTACGCGGTGGAGGACAGACGCAAGAAAAACTAGGTATGCGTAATTCTTTGGACCTTGATACATCTCTCGGGAAACGCAGATATTGTAGTTGCGGTCTTCTGCTTTAGCAAAACCTGCCATGGAGTCGAATTGTGCAAAAATTCTTTCAATGCAGTCTGCGATTTCAAGCCACTTTATTTGCGAAAGTGCTAAAATTTTGGGCAGGTCGTTTTCTTCATAGTTGGTTGTCATGCTGCCGTGCAGCTTTTTATAGGCCTCTTGTCTGCAACGGCTCGAACTATGTGCTCGACGGCAGAGGAGATTGCTTCAATTGCCTTGGATGCCACAAGGTCAAGGCTGTGACATGAGCATTTTATCAAAATTAGGTTTTCACTGTCTTGACGAAGGCGGCCGAAAGGGAATTGGCGTTGGCCACGCATGGCATTTGCACCATTAGGGCAGAGCCCGATTCAATTCTTGATCGAAAGATTATGCTTATCATGAGTCTTTAGTACACTGTCACGAAGCGTTTCGGCTCTTCTGTCCCGCTGTTCTTCCAGGTCTAGAAAAGTTGTGATTTTGTTTGCTCCAGAATTCAAGAAGCTCTCATCGATACACAGTTGCTTTCTCGTAATTATTTTAGTTCTTCATCTAGGCACTCGGTGAAATGCGGGAAGAGAACGTTGCTGATGATGGCTGTGCATTTCGTTCTCTGCAGCTTGAAGTTTTTTGGTTCTGAATGCACAATTTTACCGAGCTCGTCTACGGCATTTGTAGATGTGTGCACAGCAGCATATAAGGCGATTCGGACCTCACGGGGACCCTTGTCATAGTTTGGTTTGCTGCTAGGTGCTAAGAGCTGATGTAGTTCCTTTTGTGAAGAAGGAATAATAGCCATGTCGCGGTGTTTTTTTTTTGTTTTTTTTCTGAATGCTTGAGTAGTTCCCCATAGTGCGGACAAATCTTGGAATTGCAGAATCTACACTTGGCGGCCGTTTCGTTGTCAGCAGATTGCCCGCAGCCTGCAAGAAGTACTGATGAAGAAGATACGGGTGAATAACAGCGCGGACAGCGCAGCATAGACGCAGAATTAATATATTTATGTACAGCATACCAAACAGAAAATTTGTAACGAAGCTTACCATTAATCTTGCTGTCGTTTCGCCACTCGTCGCAAAAGCTTCTTTCTGCGCTGGCGTGCTTTCCCATGCGGACTGCCGGAAACAATTTGGCGGGAAATTTCCCGCCACATTTAGCGGGAAAAGTTCACCCTCGTGACGTCACACGTGACCCTCCCCCTTCCTCCTAAAGAGCTGCGCTCTAATTCGGCATTACAGAGAATTGTAAACTTCTTTCATTTTTTTCTTGGTATGTTGGAATAGGTAGAAACTCAAGTAGCATGCGAATGCAAAGGCATCAGGACTGAATATGTCGCACACGTTACCCATGGCCAACGTGACTATAAATAGATCAACTTGGTACTGAAACACCCGCGGTGGTGTGTACCCCCTCTCCCCCTTAAGTCTGCCACCCGTCATTTGAAGTGCCCTATTTGTTTTTTGCTCAATTCATGATAATGAGTTTTTAAAATACACGCACAAATACTTGTACGACAATAAGTATTCTAGTGGTTGTGAAAGTAATGAGTACTGGGTTAGAGTTTTAGTGGAGGATTTAGTTACGGCCATTGGTTTGCATTTACGAGTGTTAATGTTCATCTGCCATAGGAAACACCATGATGATATCGTATCTAAATGCCTTGGACAATATTGTGATCATTATAGGTGTATTAATTTTCCTGTAAATAACTCTAGCATCAGCGAAAAGTCTAATGTCGATTTAATTGATGATGGTAGGTCATTGATTTATATTAGAAACAATAACGGCCCGAGTACACTACCCTTAGGGACACCTGATGCAACAGTATGGGACCCGAATTGCCAGACAAGTATTAAAGTAACAACATTCTAAAATTCGGATGTGCTCATCTCTTGGGTTCTGAGATATCATGGTTTGAAAAAATGTATTGCACATATTTTGACAAACTTTTCTTAGACCTGTGATAAATTTGTGTAGGTTCAGCAACTCAATGCACTCTGCCTGTTCAAACATAGTACTTGTTTTGCAGGAACCTATCTGATTTCTACATAAAAAAACACATGTGACCTGTTTCTTGGCAATGTCATAATGTAAAAATTTTATCTTTGCAACAAAAATGCTGTAATACCTGAGCGTCCCCATACGCTGATGTAGTCTGCGAAACGACACGAGTATGTTAGGGCGGCTAGAAACAAGTTCTGTACACAAAGAGAAGTGTGCATGGGAGCATCATATTCAAACTTGCTTGCATTTACAATACAGAAGAGAGTCGTAAATAAGAAATTGGTCACCTTTGAACACTGCGAAACGAGCCTCCTGGAATCCATACGTTCTGCAAATATCCGTCATTAAAAAAACTTATACACGTGCATCTTAGATACTGTAGATTTTGTGACACCGAGACACACAATATCTGTGCAGCATGTCGGCATTTACGCTGTAGCACCACAATGACACCCAAGAGACTGCTACGAAGACACTGACTATCTGCACACACACACACACACACACACACACACACACACACACACACACAGACGTACCGACTTCATAGAGCAGTTGTCTTTGCATAAGGACGAAGCTCAAGCACCTTGCTGGCCGGACAGGAACTAATTTATTTAGGCTTGATCCCTTTGCTGCTTCTTTTTTAGATGTGCGCTGGCACCCAGAAAATTGTTGTCATCTTGCAACAAAGGGCACAACAAACGAGAGCGATAAAACTTTCCTGGAAATGCTGACGTTTTCTGGAGCAGATAAGGGCATTGACACGATTTCTTTGACTTGGATATTGCTATTTGAATTCTTTATTATCTGGAAAATGACGACACTGTGCCAATAAAACATATTTCTCTTTGATGGCGGAAAGGACGTCAGCAGCTACCCATGGCTGATCCTTTCTTCGTTTTTTTTTTATATTAATGGTTTTTGTGCTCATGGTCCTAAAGTTTGAAATAATATCGACCAGCTTTAAGTAGTCATCCTGATAGTTGCAATTTTCAAGGAGCATATCCCAATTATAGGCAGAAATTAGTCTATCCAAGTGACGTGAATCAATTACTGTTACTTATGATTGTTCTACTGGTTCATAAATTGCATCAAAGCTCAGACGACAGGCAACAAAATATTGATCTGCCAACTTTTGTGTAATAACGGTGGATCTATTCTGAACACCTAAGTTTCTAATATTGATATGATCTATACAGGATATAACTAAATTATCAGACAAATACTCCTCCCTGGTAGCTGCCTGAATTGTACTTTCAATACCATAGTTTGGAAGGATATTTAAATAATCACAAACACTAGATTTCGAAGGTTTAAGAAGGTCGGTGTTGATGTCACCTACCATACAGAGTTTATCAGTAGGCACTATATTTTTTTAAGTTTGTGTCAAACTCATCTAAAAAATTACGTACGCTTTCAGTGGGCGGTCCATAAAGGGCTAAAAGAAATACTGCAAAGCTGTTTTTACAGAGTTTTAACGAGAGACACTCTGCATAGTTGAATGGGCTTTGTAATGTGGGGCTGTTGACCATGTATTTTTAACATAATAATAATATTCTTTATTCAGACAAATGTCTAGGAGGATGGGGCAAAAGGCGATTTAAATCGCCTGACAAGGCTCCATCGCCCTGTACAGTCAGCAGCAGAACGTACAGAAACATAGGGAAAAAAACAATGAAATACTCATAGTGGCATTACACTGAGATGCAGTGATATAACAAAAGAAATGCGGCCGGAAACTTTAATAAGTCATGTTATACGTGAAAGGTACGTTTTCAGTGTTCGTTTAAATGTGTATATTGTGTTGGAATTATTGATCATGGACAGTACTTCAGGGTGGTTGTTTAATAGCTGTGCGATCTGATTAAGTGTCTTTTGTTTACCGTAGTTTGTGCGTACTCTCGAGTGAGTGTAGTGGGTATGGCGAAATGAGTATATTGATGCATTGTTGATGTAATTTTTATGTACAAACTGAGGGTGTGCTTTTATTTTGTAAAACATGTATATTGCCAGTTTTTGAATGAGTGATTGCTGCATAAACTGCAATTTCCCCTCCTCTATTATTACGACCCGACGGCACCGCGTCCCGTGGAGAAATAGTGCAACCAACCTCTGCCGCACTGTCATCGCGCGGCTGAGGTTGGTTGCACTATTTCTCCACAGGGCGCGGTGCCGTCGGGGCCGAGATGCGGTCCGAGAGCAAACCGAAACTTAAAAACCCGTCGAATTTGTGCGGTTTTTCAGAAAGCGGTAAAATGCTTCGCGTGCTTTCTATCGTTTTGCAATTTGTTGATTTAGTGTTTTTGATGATGCTGAGAAATTTTCTAATTAATACCGTGCCCTTAAACGCAATATTAAAAAATTTAATTACGCAAAAATAATTAAAAGACCTGTGCAACAGTTTCAGTGATTTGCTTAAATAATTTGGGAGTTGGTGTCTCGACCTTTCTGAATTAAAGAACAAAAACCGCTTTTGCCTGCATGTCCTAGTTTTTATTTTAAAAATGGACAAAGATTGAGGTTTTCGGCACATCTCAACTCCTTCACCATCTTCCGGGTCACGTGCGCTGTGACGTCAATGGGGGTTGCGCGGGGTTCCAGTGAAGCTCTCTGTCTAAAGCCATCAGTGACCAGCGAGAACTCATCCGCTCGCGACCGCGTGACCACGTGCTGGCGGGCGCAGCGCGAACAATATGGTGAAACGAGGAAAGCCTCATCCGGGTCCGGCCGTGCCCGTCCGGCTCTGTCCCCCTTCCCCTCCGGCTTCTAGCGGCTGTTCGCGGTAGCAGATAGAGCTGACGGTTTTGTGGACCTAGGATAGATGGCGCCACTAAAACTCCGTATAGACCCTTTCGGGCAACATTTCATGGGCGCCGCCATCTTGACGTCACGTGACCCTGTCGCCATAGCCTACGTTCAGTCTCTCGCCGTTGCTCCGCGTTGTGTGCTGCGCAGGCCACCACCGGATGCTTTGTTTTCGTGTTCTTTTGCATTCAGCGTTGAAATCTTGTGTTTTCTTTAGGTCGTTTTCATATTTCGGGCTTTCATTTAATCATTTGATATCTATATTGCAACATAGCTCTTGTATTTTGCGCGCACATGCTGGGAGAAGCACGACTGCGATTGCCTTACTGCGTCAGTTGAAATTTCCATATGTTGCAATGGTGTTGACTGCCTTTTGTTAGTGACAAAAACGAATGAATATGATGAACTTACATGGTCTCTGAAGCTTAGGCCATAATCTTGTATCGTCAATCTATTCGCAGTCCGATTCCATTCCATAAACAAGAAAATACAAGAGCTATGTTGAAATATAGATATCAAATGATTAAATGAAAGCCCGAAATATCGAAATGACCTAAAGAAAACACAAGATTTCAACGCGAAATGCAAAAGAACACAAAAACAAAGCTCCGGTGTTGGCCGACGCAGCACACAAGGCAGAGCAGAGCCGTGTCTGAGGCAGAGCAACGGCGAGAAACTGAAGGTCGGCTATGGCGGCCCGGAAAGCGCGCGGAAGGCGTGCCGACTGGTGGCAGCTCGAGTAACTGACTCCATGAAAGCGTCTATAATAAAGGTTTTGTCGATGATACCAGGTTTTTGACGAATATATATTTATGTTGGAACGACAAGATTTATGGAAAAGTTACCTTTTATCGAGCAGATGTTCGCACAACTTGCTATCTTTCTACAAGACCCCATTGACGTCACGCCGCGTGTTTCTCATGGCCGCCGCTCGCGGCTGCAGGTCGGGGAATATTCTAATTTTTGCCTCGCGATTACATGGCGGAATCGCAACATTTTGAAGGAAGGAGGTGTCTTTTTTGTCCTTTTTGACAAGATGAACAATGTCAAAAGTAGAACATGCCAATTCTTTCAACGTTAAGATCGTTGCACAGCTTAATTATCCCGGAGTTTAATAATTGTCCTTAATAAATAATTGTTGCGACGCGTAGTTTTCGCAATATCGAATTGGTCCACCTTTCGTGAAACACCCTGTATATATATTTTAAAGAGACCAGAGCGGTACGAAATCGGTGTTCGTTCGCAATGAAGTCGGACCAAACTGAAACTCCAGCGTGCTGTCCACAGATCTGGTTCAGGGCAAGACCCTTTTGGAAGTGGGCTGCGGTCCGACGCTCTGGCCTTCGTTCCTTTCTTCGAGGCGCTTCAGCGACATCGTGCTGAACGACCTCATGGAAGGCAACAGGCTGGAACTCGAGAAGTGGCTCGAGAAGAGTAAAGATGCCATCGACTGGACCTCACGTGCCGAGGAAGTCGCTGCTTTGGAGGGCTACAGGTAAACGCAGCGTATTTTGAATGTTTGAATTGTATTTCAGTGGACTCCTGCGGACAATATTAGCCAAAAACACCTGATCTGGCCATTTTATGTCGATGTTCCCCAGAAGTTCTATCACCTCTCCATTTGTCTAATTTCAACGTATGGGATCCCAAATTCATTTACCGTTACTTGCTCGAATCACAGCTCTCTCAAAACTTGGCAGGTACGTCAAACAAAAGCGTGAAGGAATGTTTCATCTCGTATTGTCAGCTATAGTACAGCGAAGGCCCATTGGATTGGACCCACTTTAAAGGGATACTTCAACGAAATTTGAAATATATCCGTCGTGTTCAAAAATAGGTTGAATATTATCCACAATATCCGTAAATGACAATCGCACGTTTGTGTTTTGAGCCTGTTGGCTGTATTTTTTTGTTATCAACTCTTGCAAGCGCTCGGATAAGGCCCAGCTTAGAGCACGTGACATCCGACGCAATCGTGACGTAGGTCGTCTCGGGACGAGCAAAACTACGGCGAGGTTGACGTCGAGGGGATGGCCTAGTCGTTCTAGCCACCGAAGCGGCTGCTTTTCTACGAATTTCGAGTGACGGGTTAATCTTTTATAATCTTGTAGAGGGACAATATCTACTTCTGGAAAACACAAAAGGGATTCTCGGGAAGACGGGAGTTCTTCCTTCCCCTCTTCTCTCGTCGTGGCCGGAGGCGAGACACTCACCGTCACTAGCTGTCAAGGTTCCTAGACGGGCATTACAAACGAGGCGTTAGCGACATCCACCCGGTGCTCTTTGCTAATCGTTTAATTCGTTCTAAAATTCTTTTTCGTGACTTTTTTGACAAGATATTGGTGTGTTCGATGTGATACTGCTTCTTTGAACACATATAGACCAAAAATTGAACGCCGAAATTTCGTTGTAGTGTCTCTCTAAAGGAATATCAAAAATCATTTTCGTTTGTTACGGCATTTTAACTTAGCATGAAGGGGGAACTGTGCGCTGCGCCTTGCAAAGCTGATTTTTTATGGCTGGTAAACCTGCAAGTGAAAAACCTAAGAAAAATTTACTCATAAAAATAATTGCATCTCCCAAATCAGTTTCGCTTGCTCCGGCATTGTAACGTTTTAGCACAAATATGGAACTGTGTGGTGCGCTTTGCAAATCTGATTGCTGATCGTTCGGTAAACCTGCTTTCAAAGTGACGGCGGCAATAAAAAAAATTGCGGTTGTACTTACGTTACGGAAGACGAAATTGTCATACCTAGAATCTACTTGTGTGTTGTTAAATATTAATGCAATCGTTTACAAACATATTTCTACAAATATTTCTACAAAACCTAGATATTTCTACAAACCTGATTGCTTTGTTAGTCGGGCAAGGTCACTCACCAACCTTTGTGTTGCTGTATGTTCACGCTGTCTGTTGTCCAGTTTTATGTTCGCCCTAACCGCCCTAACCCCAGACTGGACCACAGTCCAGTCTGGAGTTTTTCGGGAAAGGATTGCCCACTAGCATCGAATCTCTTTTGCGTGTGCGTTTTTGTTTTCGAGACTATCGAGTGAAAATATAAGTCTGCTTGAAGACCACCTTGCTTATGCATTTGTGGAAAAAGTTTTCCTTCTCCTTTCGTTTGGTTTGTTCCTGTACCTGAACCCTATATAAACCTCAACTTTCTATTTGGTTTATGCACTCGATTTGTGCATTTTAGGTTTGCGTACCTGAACCATATGAGCCACAATTTCCTCTAAAATAAGTTTAGCTGAGTTTGAGACGTTGTGTTGTATTTACCTTTGTATTTCCCGTCTAGGAGTTTTGTCTCATGGTGCACTTTTCTTGTTGATACTATCAAAGAGCAAACTTGCCTCAATCAAAAGATGCAAGTTGAACCGTGCAGCTAGAAGCTAACAATTGTTTGTGGCTCAGTGTGCAATGCATATTTTTTATGGAAATTAGGAAAAAATCTTACTATGGATATTTGTGACGTTTTAATTACCGAAAACATCAAAAATGGCAAATTAAGTATTTCTGACTTAGTTTTCGTTCCTTGTTTTGCCCAACAAAGCGATTCGGTGGCTTACCGAAACGGGTTTGACTTTTAGTAAAACAAATGCTCAGCTGCATACTGAGCCACGGACACATTTTGCTCCCGAGTTGTAATTTTCGCGTAATGCAAATTTGGTGTTTCATAAGAAAAAAAAAAAAAAGGAAAACGTACAGCTTAATCTAACCTTTCTAACGTGCTAAATTAATGTGTCGGAGCATGCAAAATTGATTTCTGAAATATACTTAAAGCATGTCCGTTTGGCGCACGCTGTACACTGTGCCCTTTGGCATTTGGAGACACCCTAAGAGATTTGTTTCCGGGAATTTTCTGATTTGACAGAATATCGCAAAAAGAATTGGTTTGGCAAATATATCTCCCCCATGATAAAAAACAAAACACAAATCGCAACATTTACGATTTTTTCTTTTTTGCCTCCGAAACATTTTTGGTTTTTACATCTTTCCGAAATTCCTGAGATATTGAGCCGGCGAAAATAATGTCGTTTACAGTAGCAGGTTGCGGGGATGTCTGGCGCAGTGCTAGTCATTTCTCGGGCGCTTATTCTGGAGCGGAGGAACCAAGTTTAGTACACGCAACTGCAGAGCCGCCTCTCAAAAGTGGCAGCTAGCCTACGGGGTCCCCTCTTCTCCTTTCAGGGGCTGGTTCGAAGCCCAACCCAAGCCTTTATTGCGTAAAACGTGACTCTGTTTCTGCGCATGCGTATCGCTTCGACGGACGTGTACCATGAAACACCATATATAGTACAACAGACCACTTTCAAACGCCCGCGCCATCTAGCGAATGCTGCGCCAATTATTCGAGTCCCTGATTGTTCGGAAGCGTACTCCAAACCTGTAAGTGGCACGAGGGCTACGTCAACGTTCGACGTGAACTCGGCTCAGCACGTACCGAAAAACGAGTGCTGACGTCAGCGTTCGGCATGGACTCGGATTCCATTACACGCTTTGTGGCCCGAGAAATTGAAACTGCCAATGTTGCTTGCTTGGGTTTCGAAAAAGAGTACTAGCTCGCAGCAAGTAAACTGAATGGGCAGCCGTGGGAATGTTTAGCCGACTTTGGTACAGCGCGAATCCCGTATGCTATAAAAATGTAGAGTAGGGTTTAATTCCCGATTATTTCTCCGTAATACGAACTTGGGGCTGCGTATAAACATCGATGTTGCTTCATTTTTTATCTTCCATATGAAATATAGCAAGGGGTTTTAACCGGTTCTATGATTTGGTCACCGACGGATTTTGTCGGTGTTTTTCGGGTTCAACCAATTTTGTTCTGTTGGTGACAACAGAACAAAATAGGTTGAAACGATTATCGTTTTTCTTTTTTGGGGGGTTTTAGCCTATTTTGTATTTTCGTCACCGACGGAACTTTATCATAATAGACTAAAACTCCCAAGACGAGGGAGAGGGAGCACGAGGGACAACAGAGCACAGAAGTCCTTTTTTCTCTCTACTCTCGGTGTCGTAGTCGATTGTGCTCAAGCATCACGAGCTTTCTTTGTTCCCTAACTTTTTGAAATGTATCAAATTTTTAGGTTAAAACCGTTAAAGGGGTAGGGAAACGAAATTTCAGCGCTCATTTTTTAGCTTTAATGTGTTGCATGTTGCACCCTCACCTCAAAAACACCAGTCTTCCGTTGAAAAGCACAAGAAAACTAATTTTAAAGCTAAATAAACGATCTTTCAATGTGCACCTGGTGGATGCATGCGGAGCCTATTTGGGAGGTAGTCTAGCAACGTTGTGGAATCTGCTACGTAGTCGTGACGTAGCAGATTCCTTCGGAACAGCGCCGCCTTTTGGAATTTCAACGTTTTCCTTTTTAGCTTTCCTCCTAGCTCAACTCACATATCGCGCATTGTACCAAACTCTCAAAGAAGACGGAAAGGAAGGACTCCCCTCTTTCTCGGACCCTCGTTCGTGCAACCGGAAACAACCATTCTCCCCCTAGAAGATTAGCCCGTCGCTCAAAACTCGAACAAAAGTTGCTTTCCCCATTCCGTTCAGCCCTAAGCTGACAGTGTTGTGGAAGCTACGTGCTCCTTGGGCCAGTCACACGCTCGTCACCCCACGGGTACTTCGAGCGGCTCGGTTGTAACGCGCTGACGCTGTTGACACCACCACAACGCTGACAACGCCACCAAGGGCAAAGCTCATAACCACGCTTGCCTTGCTACTCCACGAACCCGGGAAATCTTTTCTTTCTGCTTTTGTTTGCGCCGGACATCCCATGACGCATCGCGCTCTCAGCTCGCTTCTCTTCGAGCGCTTGTCCGAGTGCACCGTTTGGAACGAAAAATATAGCCAATCGTTCAAAATACAAACGTGCGATTATGATTTACGGTTAATATCCGTCATGCTTGACTCATTTCCGAACGAAATTTGAATATTTCAATTTATGTTTCCGTACCCCTTTAAGGGGTCCATGGCCCACATGTAACTTACGCAGCGCATCTTTTTGCGATTTACAGCGACACCAAGAAGGGGGCGCTGGAAATACTGGAGCGCACACGATCCTCGATCCGCAAGGTGGTTCACGGCGATGTCCTGAAACCCGGAGTGCTCCCACAGGAACACGAGGAAGCCTTCGACGTCGTACTTTCCTGCAACTGCATCGAGAGTGCCATAGCAGACCACGAATCTTTCCGGTGCGCGATCAGCAACGTAGGGTCCCTCGTCAAACCTGGCGGTCTACTCGTTCTTACTGGTATGGGTGGCGTAGAAAAATTCACCCTAGGAGACGCTGAATTCACCGTGCCGAAACTCACCGACGACGTGGTCAAAGGAGCGGTGGCAGATGCTGGCTTTAAAGTGAATGTATACCGCACGGAAAACATGGGCGCCATGGGACAACCTGAGCTATTTGCGTTTGTCCTGGCGGCCCGCAAAGATTTTAAAGGGGATCTCTAACGATACTTGAGCGTCTGCACTCTTTGTTATTACCTCAGTAGTAGGTCGGGCTACCCAGGGAACAAGGAGTAGCCACAAACTATTGGCACGTCATATTTTAATTGGATCAGGCAAAAACATGCAACGTCTGGTGGCGCCCCAGTGTGTTGAAGACGCGCAGTGGGTGACGTTTTGGGAAGAGCCGTCAGAATATATTTTATGCAGACGAAATGAAGTGTATCACTCAATAAAATATTGTCACGGGTGGTGAGTCGTGACTAATAAACAAGAAATAAACAGAAATAAATAAACGTTTAATGTGGCGAACTTGTGCCAAAAATAAAGAAGGAAACAGAAGAAAGCAGAGCGTCGCGGGCGTCGAAGTCGGCGTGTCAGCAGAATCGAGCGCTGGGGCGAGACTGACTCGACAAGGTAGCGGGCGGCCTCTTATCTAGAGTGTGTCACTATCTCGAAGATTCGGCGAAAGCGGCTCGAGCGTCGCGTTATCGGGGCGAGAATGAACACGCACTTTCTAGAAAACAAAAGCAGGAATAAATGATAGAAGTTACGTGCGGTACATGAATAGACGAGAACTTTCTGGGGGTCCGTGACCGAGCGCGGCTTTCTCAGCCCTGCGTGCGGCATTATCCCCCCCTTTAAAAATGCATCGTCCCGATGCAGCACAAAAACGGAAAACAAAAAAAAAAACAAAAAAAAAACAACAAAAGGACAGCAGAATTGCTAGCCGGAGTTCACAGTCCACAGTTCACTCGTCGACGAGAGTGGAGAGTCCTATCGTTCGTAATACGGCTTCAGCCGGACGACATGCACCACCTCGGGTCGCGGCTGACGTCTTGCAGATGGGCGCGTTCCGTCGGGTAGAACTTCGTAGTTCAGATCGCCGAGGCGTCGGACGATCTTGTAGGGCCCAAAGTAGCGCTTCAGCAATTTCTCACTGAGGCCGCGGCGACGGATGGGCGTCCATACCCACACCCTATCTCCGGGCTGGAAGTGGACGTCCCTGCGACGAAGGTTGTAGCGGCCGGCGTCGACGCGTTGCTGGTCTTGAATCAGGAGTCGGGCGAGCTGGCGAACTTCTTCGGCGCGTTGAGCAACCGCCTGGGCGTCGTCGCTCTCGTTGTCAGATGGCTCTTGGGGCAGCATGGCGTCCAGCATGGTCGTTACCTTCCGACCATGTACCAGCTGGAAAGGGGTGAATCCAGTGGTCTCTTGAACCGCCGTATTGTAGGCGAACGTGACGTAGGGCAGCACCTCGTCCCACGTCTTGTGCTCTACGTCGACGTACATAGAGATCATATCGGCGATTGTCTTGTTGAGTCGCTCCGTCAGCCCGTTGGTCTGCGGGTGGTACGCAGTTGTACGACGATGGCTGGTATGACTGAGTCGGAGGATTTCTTGGGTCAGTTGTGCCATGAACGATGATCCGCGATCTGTAATCAGAACTTCTGGAGCGCCGTGCCGGAGGACGATGGACTCAATGAAAAACTTGGCAACTTCCACAGCAGTCCCCGAAGGAAGAGCTTTCGTTTCGGCGTACCGTGTGAGATAATCTGTGGCGACGATGATCCAGCGGTTCCCCGACGTCGAAGGCGGAAAAGGACCAAGTAGATCCATTCCGATCTGCTGGAAGGGTGCAGTTGGAGGAGAAATAGGCTGCAGGAGTCCGGCCGGCCTCGTCGGAGGTTTCCTGCGTCGCTGGCACTCGTGGCATGATCGTGTGTACAGGTGGACGGTCTTGGGGAGCTTGGGCCAGTAATACTTTTCACGAATACGGGCCAGTGTCCGGCTGTATCCAAGGTGTCCGGATGTCGGGTCGTCGTGACATGCTTGAAAGATCTCCCCTCGAAGGTCGGTCGGGATTACCAGCAGCCACGGCGAGTTGTTGTCCCCGAAGTTCTCTTTGTAGAGTACACCTTGTCGAATGGCGAAGGTCGACACGGCTCGTGAGAAAACACGGGGTACGGTACCGCCGCGCCCTTCCAGGTGCTCGATTAAGGCTCGCAGCTCCGGATCGTCTCGTTGACGTCGTGCCATGTCATCGGTGTTCACTGCCCCTAGAAAGCACTCGTCATCATCGTCGTCGCTGCTGCCGGAAGGTGTTTCGACAGGGGCCCTGGACAGGCAGTCAGCGTCGCTGTGCTTGCGTCCTGACTTGTAAACCACAGTCATGTTGAACTCTTGTAGCCGGAGGCTCCATCGAGCGAGGCGTCCTGACGGGTCCTTGAGGTTCGCAAGCCAGCAGAGTGAGTGGTGGTCTGTGACTACGCGGAACGGGCTTCCGTACAAGTACGGACGAAACTTCGTGATTGCCCAGACGACCGCAAGGCATTCTTTTTCAGTCGTGGAGTAATTTCTCTCTGCCTTGGACAGTGTCCGACTTGCGTAGGCGATGACTCGTTCGGTGCCTTCTTGTACTTGAACTAGTACCGCGCCAAGTCCTGCGTTACTTGCGTCAGTGTGAATCTCGGTGTCCGCATCCTGATCGAAATGTCCAAGAACCGGAGGCGTCTGGAGTCGTCGCTTCAGCTCGTCGAATGCCTGCTGCTGTTCCTCGGCCCATTCGAACCTCTCGGCGTCCTTCGTGAGGTTTGTGAGCGGTGCGGAAATCCGTGCGAAATCCCGAACGAAGCGACGATAGTAGGCGCAAAGTCCAAGGAATCTTCGCACGGTCTTTTTGTCTGTCGGCGCTGGAAATGACGCGACGGCGCGAGTCTTCTCAGGGTCTGGGCGCACGCCTTCGTTGCTAACCACGTGACCCAGAAACTTCAGTTCGTCATAGGCGAACCGACACTTTGACGGTTTGAGGGTGAGTCCAGCGGCCCGTATGGCTTGAAGAACAGCTCGGAGTCCCCGCAAGTGCTCGTCGAAGTCGCTGGAAAACACCACGACGTCATCGAGGTAGACCAGACAGCTCTGCTACTTCAGTCCTGCAAGTACGGTGTCCATAACACGCTGGAAAGTTGCTGGAGCCGTGCACAGTCCGAAGGGCATCACCTTGAATTCGTACAGCCCATCTGGCGTGACGAAAGCTGTCTTCTCTCGGTCCCGTTCGTCGACTTCGATCTGCCAGTAGCCGCTCTTCAGGTCCATCGATGAGAAGTATCGAGAGTGGCGCAGCCGGTCTAACGTGTCGTCGATTCGGGGGAGTGGGTAGACGTCTTTCTTCGTCACCGCGTTCAGCTGCCGGTAGTCCACGCAGAACCGAAGCGTTCCGTCCTTCTTCTTTACCAGTACGACTGGAGAGGCCCACGGACTGCTTGATGGCTGGATTATGTCGTCGTTCAGCATCTCTTGAACTTGCTCCTGGATCACCTCCCTTTCTTTAACGGAGACTCTGTACGGTGATCTATGCACAGGGCGCGCGTCGTCCTCGGTAATGATGCGGTGCTTCGCAACGGCTGTTTGGCGTACCTTCGACGACGTCGCAAAGCAGTCACGGTATTCGGCGAGGAGGTTAATCAGCTGCCGTCGTTTCGGGTCCGGAAGCTTAGGGTCGATGTCGAGTTGCGCTGGCGACGTACCGTCTTGCTGAGGTGGCGAGGATTCATCAGTAATGGCGGCGATTTCGGCGGAGTTTCGGAGATCCTCGACGTGGCCAACGGCTGCACCTTTTGTGAGGTGTTGCGTTTCATTCCGGAAGTTCGTCACGAGGACCACAGTGCGGCCATCCTGAAGTTCGGCTACTCCTCGTGCGACGCCTATTCCTCTTCCCAGGAGCAACTGGAGGTTGCCTTCCAGAAGAACTTCGCTACGGGTAGCTGCATCGGTCACGACGGGTACGACAACACTTGATCGCGGCGGCAGATTCACGTGGTCGGCAGCGACTCGGACGGCGGCTGACGCACTTTGGAGTTTCTCTGAAGGCGGAACAGGTGTCCGCAGCGTCAATCTGTTTTCTCCAAGGTCGATGACGGCGCCGTATTCACACAAAAAGTCCATGCCGAGAATGACGTCTCTGGAACAGTCTTGTAGAATGACGAATTTCACAGGACACGTCTCGCCGTGAATTTCGACGCGAGCCGTGCACCTTCCAACAGGCGTGATGAGGTGTCCTCCGGCGGTTCGTATCTGCGGTCCATCCCACGGCGTCGTGACTTTTCGAAGGTGGCGGGAGAGCCTCCCACTCAAGACTGAGTAGTCTGCTCCGGTGTCCACCAGTGCCGATGCGTCGTGGCCGTCGATGATGACGTTTAGGTTGTTGGACACCGTTTCAGGAGTGTTGTTTCGGTCTCCGGTAGCGTTCGAGTGGGGGCCCTCCGACGTTCGTGGAGGATCTTGGCGTCGGTCGTCTTCGGCAACTCCACCTCCAGGGGTTGCCGCGCCTAGTTTCCCCGGCGTGGAGCGAGGGGCGACAGGCTTTCACGTCGGGGTCGGTGCATCGGCGAAGCTGGACGTCGTGGTGAAGGCGATCGGAACTCTCGGCGGGACGCAGGCTCGGGGGACTGGGGTCGTCGCAGATACTCGTCGATCTCCCGAGGGCGTTCACCATACCTGGGGCGCGGGTCGCTTGGGTGGAATCCGCGCAGCCCGAGTCGTCGGTATGGACATCGGCGGTACACATGGTCAGCTTCCCCGCAGTGGTAACACAGCGGGCGTCGGTCGGCCGTCCTCCAGACGTCTGTCTTCCTCGGCGCAGGTCGGTCTGGGTGAACGTGCGCCTGATCTTCCTGTCGTCGGGGATACTGCGGCGTTGGGGCGTCTCTTCGGGGTGGCGCCGCGGCTTGGCGGGGAGCTTGCGGCGGTCGTCGGGCTATGGCAGCGTAGCTCAACGTCGGTTCCTCCGGTGCCACCGTGGTGACGGGAACCTCTGGTTGGAGCGCCCGCTGTACTTCCTCGCGCACAGCCTCGGCAATGGAGAGCGTCGCTGGTCGACTTGCGGCTGGCAGCAACTGGCGGAGTTCCTCCCGGACGACCTCCCGGATACTTTCGCGGATGTCCGTACCAGGAGCGTTCTCACCGCCAAGCAGCGCGGTTGCAGCGACACTTGGATGTCGCTGGTAGTGGGAAGCGCGCGCTTGGAGGGCGCGCTCGATGTTTGTCGCCTCGGTGACAAAGGCTTCGACGGTGCCCGGCGGGTTGCGCACGAGGCCTCCAAAGATGT